TTTATTTTTTTAGTAATTATAAAAAAAAAAGTGGGAAGAAAAATTCGTTATGCAATATATAGTATTTTAGTTTTTTTTATTTTATGCTTTGAAATATCTATTTAATTTATTTTTCATTTATTTTTTAAAATGGCACAAAGAGTTCATTATCGAAAACACAATCATTATAATACAAAATCAAACAAAGTAAAACCAGTAAAAACTCCAGGGGGAAAATTAACTGTTCATGTAATAAAGAAAAAAGCTGGTAAACCAAAATGTGCTGACTGTAAATGTGCTATTCAAGGAGTAAGAAAAAAAAAAAAAAAAAAAAATTTAAGAAATTTATAAATTTTTAAATGAACATAGAATATTTTTTTTTTTTTTTTTTTTTACATTTATATATATTAATATATCTGATTACTTTTTTTATAAAAGTAATTTAATTGGTCTCAAAAATTTGCTTGTTTTATTATTTTTTTATTTTTTTTTTCTTTTTCGTATGAACATAGAATTACCTTTTCATAAATATATATATTTTATTTTTTTTAAATTATAAAAATATAATTTTATTTTTGTATTTATACATAAATTTGTTTTTGAGAGTATACACATAATATTATATTTTCATATTTTGCACATCATAAATCCTCTTAGTCATATTATTATGTTATTCTTTAAATCATTTACATTTTTTTAAAATTAAGTAAATATGTTGAAAATAATTTTTATACATGAATTATAATTTAATTTTTTTTTTTTTAAGGTAAAAGCATTAAGACCAGCTGATAATCACAGGGCCAGAAAAAAAGATAGAAGGGTATCAAGAGCCTATGGTGGTTCCATTTGTGCTAAATGTATAAGAGAAAGAATCATGAGAGCATTTTTATTTGAAGAACAAAAATGTGTTAGACAAGTTTTAAAAGAAAAAAAAAAACAAGAAAAGAAAGTGAAAAAGGTTAAAAAAGATAAAAAAAAAAGCTCTAAAGATGGAAAAGCAACTGATAAGAAAGTAAAAAAAAATGCAGATAAAAAAAAAAGTAGATAAATATCAATCAGAGAAAAGGGAATAAAAAAATAAAATGTTGTATAATAAATTTAAGTAATAGAAATTACTAGGAAAAAAAAAAAGAAACTATATATATATTTTTTTTCTTTCGATTTTAGCATTTTTGTTCACATATATATATATATATATTTAATTAATTTTTTTTATTTTATTTTTTCTTAATCTTATTTATATAAAAACTTCTTGTACCAATTTTTAAATTTATCATCTAATTTTATAAAAAATATTAATTTACATTTATGTAAAAATAGTTTTAAATAATATAATAATAAATTTTGATATATTAAAAGATAATATATACAATAATAATTAAATTGATTATATAGATTAAAAAAAAAAAAAAAAAAGGAAAAAAAGACTATAATAAAATATATCAGCATAAATAATTATAATTACTATATCTTGTTATGTAAATAAACAAGTATCATTATAATTATTGTTTAAATAATAATTAAACAATTTTGACAAAATTTTTTAGAATTAGTATACATATAAAAGAAAAAAGATAAAATAAAATATGAGTTTAAAATAATGAAAACACATTTATTAATAATTATGCTATTAAAATGATAAGTTCTTAAAAAAAATATATTATATAAAAAATTTCTTCTATATTTCATGAATTATGGTTTATTATTGTCTACTCTTGTATAAGTAAAAAATAAATTTTTACAATAAAAGAAGTTCATATGCATGATCTATATATTTTGTTATTCTCAAAAAACGAATATATTCTTTTATTTTTTTTTTTTTTTAAACATACTACGAAGTGTTTATAATATTTTTACTAATTTATTTAAAAATTTTTATTGTTCGTATAATATATTTTAAAAGTTAAATATTTTTTTTTTTTTTTTTTTAAACGCATATTATCTTAAACTTTTTCTTTGTAATATATATATTTTAATTTTTTATAAGTTAAAATCTATTTATTTCTATTTTATCTTTATTTGTTTTTGCATTTTATTTTATTTTTTTAATTTATAATTTTTATGTGTTTTATCATTGTTCTTTATACGTATACTATTTAACGTATTTTTTAATATTTTTCTATGTATTACAAAGAATAGATACACTTTTATGAATTAATGAATTTTAAAATAATTGAAAAATATTGAAGCATCAGAATGTTATTAATGAAAATATTTTTACAAAATTTTTTTTTTATATTTATTCAACATATTTTATTAATACAAACTGAAAATATAAAATTAAAAAATTATGCTTTTAATAGGAAACATTTCATGCTAAAAATCTTAAATGAAAAAAATATTTTAATATATCATAGAAAAAAATATTTAAATTTAAAACAAAAAAAAAAAGTAAAACGTGTGTATTCACAAGCATATCTTGTTTTTGATATAATAAAGGTTTAAAATTACAAAAAAAAAAATGAAAAAATAAAAGATTATATTAAAAACTATATTGAATTATATATATGTTGAATAATAAAGTTAAAGCAAATATATAAATATATATATATATATATATATATATATATATATATATATATATATATATATATATATATATATATGTATTTTTTTTTTTAAGATATTTGGGCGTATATCTGACAAAGAGCTATTAGGTCACGTTATTTCTCACAATAATGAGTTTATAGAATTAGATAAAAATAAAAAAAAAAAAAAGTGGGAAATTTTATTTGATAATAATTATATAAATTTCGATTTATTAAAAAAATTTTTAAAAAATAACAAATTTGAATGGCCATTAACAGTTAATTCTGGACAAATTAAAAATCAAGGTTCCATTAATATTCCAGGTAATTTATTTTTTATACATTTTTCATTTTTATATTTCTATAATATTTTTATTTTTTATCTTCATGAAATATTTAATATTTATGTTTCGTATTATTAAAAACTCATAAATCTTATTTTTTTTTTTTTTTCTTTTATGCAAAATTGTTATCCATTTTGTTGCAGTATCTCCAATTGTTTATGTAGAAAATTGTAGAAAAATAAGTGAGGAGTTTAGAAATAAAAATAAAACCAGCAAAATTAATTTAAAAATTATAAATGATTATGTTAGTGAATTACCCATATCTAATGATGCAATTCGTAAAAAAAAAAAATATATTATTTTATATAAATTAAATATACAAATTATTACTTTTCTGAATATTTATATTCTTTGAATTTTAAAAATATATCTATAATATCTTTTTCTTTTTTTTTTTTTATTTTCTTATCATTATTAGTTATAATATGATTCTGTTGATATTTTATTATTTTGCAGAATGTGTCTTTTCTTCTTTTAGTGATTTTGACGATTTAACAAAAGATCATTTTATAAATAAAATACATGAATGGGCTCCTTCAGATGGTTAGGAAAAAAAAAAAAAAAATTAAAATATTTCCAATTTATTATTATTTTTTTTATTTTTTTTTTTTTAAAGGTATTGTAGATTGGTATACGTTTGTATATAATTTAAAAGAAGAACCATCAGATAACATTAAAAGATTTTTTGATTAATTTTGAAATATAAATATTCATATAATAAAAAAGATAAGATATTTTAAATATTTCCCTATTTTTTATATGTATCATCTAAATTGAAACACATTATAATATTTTTATAAATATTTTATATTTGTTTTACTGTATTTATAATCTCATTATTTATTATGTTTCTTTATTTTTTTAATTTAATTATATGTAATTTGCTAATATAAATATATTTTTTTAAAATAATTATTAATATATATCTTTTGATAAAATATATTTAAAAGTCTTCATTTGAATAAAAACTATTTTTTTTTTCCAAAACAATTTAATTTTATATTTTTTTGATGATACATTTTTTTTATCCTAATTAAAATTGCATATATTCTACATAATAACTGCATTTTTTACAATTTTTTTTATATATATTATCGTTCTGATTAATACAATAAGGTGGATCAAAATCATGTTCATTATTATCACATATAATTTTATATTTATTCATATTCATCATTTCTTTACTATAAATATTTTTAGGTTTTTTTAATTTGTGAATATTTTTTTTTATAACTTTTTTATTCCTTATATTTAAAATTTTTGAATTATATAAATTTTTTACTTTTTCTAAAGATCCATATTTTCTTATTGCTATTTCCTTAATTTGAAACAAAAAATATAACTTCATTTGTTTAAGATAACCACGTGGATTTTTTGTTGAAAATAAAGCCAATTGCTTTTCATATTTTAATAAATCATAATTATTTAAACAATATTTATTTATTAATTTACTTAAAGAAATCATTCGAAAATTACTATCTATACTTTTACATTCATTGCATACATATATTTTAATATTTACTAATATTTTATTAAATTTTTTTTTTTTATAACATAAAAAACATTTTTGTTCAGACGTTTCATCATTTTCTAAAATACGTTCTATACTAAAGGTAAACTTATTTTTATGATTTTGAAAAATTAAATTTATTTTTTTTGTTTGTTCTTCATTTTCATCTAAATGAAAAATATTTTCTGAAAGTGAAATAAAAGGATTTTCATAAAAATTTTCTGTAGAATTATCTGAACATTCTTCTGGAATATCATCTATATAAAAACCACCTTCATTTAATACATTTAATTCATTTATTTTTATATTCTTATCTTTTTCTTTTATCTTATCATCGGATTCTTTGTCTTCACATATTTTTTCTTCTTTACCTTTTTCTATACACTTTTTACCTTTTTCTTTTTCTATTTCATTAAAAAAATTTTGTAAAAAATGTTTTTTTTGAAATTTTAAATAAAAATTAATATGTGGTAAATTATCATTATAGTATTCTATTCCGTCTCCTATATTGTCATCATATAATATATTATTGTAATTTACTTCCTGTTCGTTTTCAGATTCATCAGTATGTATCATATTTAAAGTGTTAATAATTAAGATATCAAATAAAATTATTAAAAGGATTAAAATGTTATTACTAAATAAACTATAAAAAAGGAGTTAATTAACACAAAAAAAAAAAAAATAATAATAATTTTTAAAATAATTTTATTTGAAAAAAAAAAAAAAAATCTAATAAAATTTCTTTTTTTTTTTTTTTTTTGTATTTACATTTTTTTAAAAAATATAATAAATTTAATTTTAAACTTATGTGCATTTTCATTTTAAAAAAAAATGAAAATAATTCATTTGAATAAAAACGGAAACTATAAATTTTTTTTCATTTTCTTTATTCAATTTGTATATACAATATGTACACTTATTTTTTTTTTTTTTTCTTTTTTGCTAAAAATTCTTTTAATATCAATAAATAAAAAAATTACATATTATATTTTAAAAATATTTTTTTACAAATTATTCAATTTAATTCTTTTATAATATAAAAAAAAAAAAAATAAAAAATAAAATGTTTAAAGTCTTTTTTATATTAGTTGCTATCCATATAGTTTAAGATTATTATAAAGAAATCCCTGTATTTTATTCTTGAATATATAAAAAAAAAAGTATTTATTTTATTAAAATAATTAATATAAATATATATGAATATAGAAAATTTTATTATAAAAATATGAAAAATATAATCAAAAAGGATGTGATATAATATATAAGCATTTAGCAAAATATACTTTTCTTTTTTTTTTTTTTAGTAAACTTGGTCATTTGTTCTATAGTCTATTGTTTTTATTGTTATACATATTGATTAAAATAAAAAAATAAGAAATTATAAATATGATAACAAAATTTAGAATGATATATTTTAGCTTATATAAAAAATAATGTAAGCTATTTCGTTTTTCTTTTTTTTTTTATGATAAAAAAAATTAATAAAATTTATGAAAAATTTATAATTACTTATTTACTATTTTTTTTTTCTTTTTGAATATACTTCATATTTAATGTAATAAAAGGAATATTAATTTTTAGTAAAACTGTATCTTTATTTTTCTTTTTTATATTTTAACACACATCTATATATATTTTTTTTTAATAAATAATTGGTAGTTATTGTAAAAAAATGTTATCATTTAATAAGAATTTTAAAAAAAAAAAAAAAAAAAAAACATAAAATAATATAAAATAAGATAAAACATGAAAGTTACATAATGTACTTTTATAATGTCTATATTTTCATTTTTGTTATTGTTATCTATATGTTTGTTTTTAATCCATATATTTTTATTATTTATTATGATACATTTCAATTACAAAACTATATTTTTTTTCTAATTATAAATGGTTATTATCTATATTCATTTAACTTTTAAAATATTATATTAATATGATTTTTATAAATTTTTTTTTTTTTTTTTTTTTTTTTTTTTAAAAAAAAAATTAA